CAGGAGCTGTACCGTACCATGTATACAATTGTATATTAGTTGTATATTAGACAATTTAAATAGTAATCATGCATTTTTTCTATTTTGTGCCACTTCAGTTCTTCAATAATTTGCTCACCTCTATATTTTATATAATCAAATTTTTTTGTTACGATTCTACCACATCTTTTTTGCAATCTGTTCACTAAATTTATATTTTTTATTTATTTTCGATCGAGGGAGAAGGGAGGGTGCACCATGTACACGGGGCTGTATAACGTGTTAATTGATGATGATTATGATGTACCGTACTGTAATGAGATGATGAGGATGATAAAATTATATACAGCAGAGCATGGTTTTAAAGTGATGCGGGAGCGAGGTTAGTCAAAGGGTTGGTTGGGGAAGGGGGGGGGGGAGGAGGCCTACCCCCGGTTACAATTGAGCGAATGGCCAATGTCGGCACAGGAAAAACGGAAAATCAGTGGTTGATCTAGCGCCCGGGCGCTTAAAATATTTTTGCACTTTTTGAGGGGCGCTTATTCAAACGGGGCGCTTATTCGAACGGGCTTATAAAAACAGATTGAAAATTGAGGAGGCACTTATGGAAATAGATGAAAATCGAGGGGTTCTTATGAGAACTTTTTAAATCCAAGAGGCACATTTTGAATGAAAAACGATTAAATAAGGACATCAGGAAACCGCAAATTACGAATGGTGCTGCGGCGGAAAAGATAATCGTCCAGAGAGCATAGCTTGTCATGACAAGAATGTTGTGAGTACAGTATTACATAACAGCAGAACAGCAGATGAAATTAGTGGTGGTGGTTGTTCGCCATCGGTCGATTGAAAATAGCAGGACGGCATGATCATTGCAGGTTCTTGAAAACTTAGATGAGAATGTGTTAAATTGTCGGAAAAGGAGTAGACTAGGCTATAGACAAACGAAAGAAGATGAAAGTTGGAAATATAGGGCCTACTGTCTGTCCAGGGAGCTCTCATCATTCTGTCAAAGATAAATATCCTCATTTTGATATTGACTAAAGGAGAATGTGATTCCACTCCACACCTCAAATCATGCCAACATCCAGTCCCAGGATGGATTGGGTTATTGAGGGGGCGTTTATTCAAATTAGAAGGGGGCGTTTATTCAAACGGGGCGCTTAAGGAAATTTTCTCGTTATGAAGGGGCGCATATTCGATAGGGCGCTTATTCAAACGTGGCGCTTATTCGCGCGAGTACGGTATGGGGGAATTTCCCTGGACCCCAAGGTAGTGTTGTCTCTATCGTCCCCATTTCTCCCCCGGTCCCCCTTTCAACATTTCTAAGTCCGTCCCGGTGGTGGTACTAAAGCAATTGAGTCTCAGCTGCAGCATGAGCTCGTGACGGGTGTGGATCTCAGCAGGTCGGTTCAGGGGCCGAATAACGTCGTCAAGGAGAACATCAAATCGAAAGGTCATCCTAGAAAAACTATGAAAAAAAAAATTTAAAAATAGGCCTACCTAATAGTAATAGGCCTAATTATGCTGGTCTATTGGGAGTGCCAAATAACTAAATCGTATGGCGCTAATGCCAACTATTAGAACAAATTTTTTAAGAACACCGAGGCTGAAAAAACTTAAAAGAAAAACAAATTGAGGTAGTAGGTTTTTATTTAACTAGAAACACTAACAGATCAATATATCAAGGTTTGAAAATGCTAAGGTAGGCCAGCTATTCTCTATATAAATACAGTAAAGTGGCCTATTGCTGTACAATTGTCTAAAGAAGTGTCAAATATTATAGAGCAAATTACGGAATACGTTGAGCCTAAAATTGACACACAAAAAAAAATCTCGGCAAAAATTCACTTGTTCTAAAAAAAAATGTACTAAGTACTGTAGAAATATTAAATCAAGTTTGTAATGTGTTTAAAATTGACTGTTGTTGAAGTAGCCTATAGGCCTAATTTTTTATTGCAATTTTTTATATATATATATCCTCGAGTTTATTGGCCGACTACAAAGACGCTTATAGGTGCGTGCATTGAAGTGAATCGGCTTTCTAGTAGGCCTACCTTGAACATGGCCTCAAAAAGCTTTAAAAAGAAAGAATTTTCACAAGTATTAATCGATTTCTAAAAAAAATGCCTTGAACACTTCAATTCAGGGCATGCTCCAATTGAGACTGCATCTCTTTGTACGTGCCAAGCCTAGAAGATGCCTGTTATAAAACAATAAACAGAAAATTAAAATAAAATATTAGGCCTACTGGGTGTTTTCCTTCAAAAGACCGGAAGATAACACATCGGACGCGGACGGACCGGACGTGACCCATTGTATGCTATGTATTGTGATTTTCATCATAGATTACAAAAATACAGACATAACACGTACATCCAGATTTGCATGGCTAAACAAATAAAATATAGTACTGTACAAGAAGGTACACATGTATAGTACGTGATAACGGCATTTTTAATACGAATCAACTTGCTGCATACCATAAGAAAAGCACTCAGATCAATTCATCGCAATACCGGTTGTCCGCACATGTACAGTATTGTTGTGTTTTGTACACACGGTAGCCTATCTGTGCCGACATTCCTGATCGACAAGGAAGGGCATCGGGTGTGTGTACGCTGGACACCAATGATATTCTGTAGGCACACAAAAGAAAATAATTTCATATTTGTCTGATCGCACAACCAACGATCTTTTTGTAAAGTTATAAACAATAATAATATTTTAGTTCATACCATACGACTAAAAACACTATTATTAACTACTACCGACACCGATTGAAGAAAGTCAAGCATGAACTGGTTCCAACCGGTTCAGGAAACTCAAAATTTTCCATCACTCGAACTCAGATTATCGACTGAGACACAGGGTAAATAGTAGTACTCCAGAACGAAGAGTTTCATATGAAGTCTTTTTAATAGTTCAGGTAATATTTCTACCCCTTTTGAGTTGAAATAGTAGGTGTTAGGCACAGGGTATCATTCGGTAAGCAAAACATTGAGTTGCATCTTATTTTCATTGATGATTGCTATCGGCCAATGAGAATGCTTGCACAGGATTCGTTTTATCGCGCCTCGCGGACAAATTCATGATGATTCCGGTGTGTAAATAATACTGATGGAAATTCCCGCAAACGCTATGTACTAACATTAATCGCATCAATTTGGCAATTCATGTTTAGGTAAAATGTCTAGGTTATCATTTTCTGTAATTAGTTGCGTTGGATGATTTTGTAAATACATTTCATTTTAAGGGTTTGGTGCCCAGTAGTGGTGGCTTACCTTGTCTGTACATGGTCGATGCCAGAACAAACCAGTTCGGCTAGGACCTAGCTCGCTTGCGTGTGTAGTGTGTGCATCCTCCATTCCTACAGTATATTAATATTAATTATTGTGAAATACTGTAAATATAAAATAGGCTTTCGGAAATTTTGTGTACAAGAATCATAGTTACTAATGTTATGTAAGCCTATGTATCAATGTATGTTGATGCATTTTATATTATGATTTTTAGTTTCATACAATACAAACCAATTGAATGTGCTGCTCTATTTTTTTGGGCTAAAAAAAAAAATGAAAATTATTTTTTTTTTCATTATTTGAATTCGTATCTAAGTAAGTTATTAACTTGCAATTCAAACATTGAATGTGAAATATGCCTGTATGTCAGTTTGGACAGTTAAATAAAATTTACCTTTTCGCTATTCCTTAACTTTAACTTTACTGTAACTTAACTTTTATACTAATTTTTTTTTGCATCGGGAAGACAAATTTTACTTGTATTTTATGTACCAGTGACAATAAAAGAATCTTATATCTTGTATCTTAGTAGTAAGTAGTAAGATACTTTCTTGGCTGGTACATTTAGGGCACATAGAAAAAAGATTAGATTATCGATCTCTTTTTTTTAAAAAAATTGATGAGGAAGGGCAGGTTTTTTTTTTTTTTTATCGGAACAATAGATTATTTTGCTTATGTTTTTATCGATGAGGGAGGGATTGTTTATATTTGGCTAGTTAGTAATAGTAAATAGTGTATAAAAACTGGTTTAATTTTATAGCTTTTTAAAGAAAATGTATTTGAAGTCACAAAATTGCATTGTTATTTTTATGCAGTTGAGATAATTGATGCGGCAACAAATTTTTTTTTTTTTTATTCCCTCATCAATATTTCCTGAATTTTTGTCGCAGCTAGAAGTGATAATCTAATAAATTTTTCTATTTGCCCATATGTTTTTAAGGATTCTTCTAGAAAAACATCTCTATATCTAATACCCCTTTTACACTGCAAGCAAAATTCCGGACGTAACCTGGGATTTTCGACTACCCGGGTGAAAATCTCCTGAGTTCTGGTTAGTGTAAACATCAAAAAGTCCTACTCGGGTTGCCAAATCTTCCGGGATGGACGTGCGGGACACATTCAGCGTAAGGCAGGCCAGCTGTGGTCAGGTAGGCATAAACTTTGCTAACAAGGGGCTAGGCCTAGATACTTGTCAAATTAAACCCTCTACGCTCCGGTATAGACATGATATTAAAACTGCTGATTTAATTCGCATAATTTAAAAACAATATGCAGGTACATTGCTTCAATATTGACAATTTATTGTGGCTTCGTGATGACGAGGAACTCGAGCGAAGTGATGATCACCATCGCAACAAAAACTGAGGGCGGTATTTGAACCCGGGTTTGTTGCCAGTGTAAATGGGAGCAACTCGGGATCAACCCAGACTTTTTCGTTCGATGTAAATGGGAAATACATCAGCACTAACTTTTTTTTGTCAGTTTCTACTTGGAAGTTATTAACTTATTTAAATTCTAATGAAGGAGCTATTGGAAATTTTAATTGAATTTTTGATATATTTTTTGACAGACAGTGTAAGCCTAACACAGTATTCTTTGAAGATACCCTGAAAAAAAAAAATCAATTTTGAATATGAGCCATCCATGAGAATTTGAATGCAAGACATACGAGTTTATTTTTATTTTCTCCTCTGTCTGCATATTTTTGCAAAACTATTTGCTAAATAAGAAAAAAATTTTTTATTTTTTTTTCCGGCCCTTCTCTCAAAAATAAGTTTGAGAAACAAAGGTATTAAAAAAGTCTCGCCTAATTGAACAGAATCTTTGGCTTAAATAGACAAGGGTAAATTAAATGCAATACTACATATACAGTACTTGGAGTTTCCTCATTGGCAGATTGAGGAAATTTAACATCAACATGACAGAACAAAAAACACAGACTATAAATAAATGCTGATTGCACTATTTTGGTCATTTGTCGTCAATTGAAAGCAACAGCTGCCAGCCTACCAAATCAAATGTTAAGAAAAGGTATTGATCAAGTAGGGGTGGTGAAGGTTGTCACTAACGAACATTTTATACAGTAAGACGAGTCAAATGGCCGAGCGGCTAATGCAGGGGTGCCGTAATATACAGTGTAAAGCACTAGTCTATATATGTGGCTGTGACAAGCCAAACCAGTCACTCGTCGCAAATCGTGTTTCAGAGAAAATGGCCAAAACATGCTGGAATGTCAAATTTAAAAAAATCTATTTTATTGCACTAAACTAACCTATCTACACATCATTCTATGCTGTTATTTTCCCCATTTTCAATGTTAAAACAATACTTTTGAAGGATTTAAAGATAGTTTCTGCATGAGAAATGCCTGAAATCATAAACTTTGACGGTTAATTTCTCATACATTGTTCTTTAAACAGCTGTGTGGTTAAACGCTTGTAACTTCATAAGGAAATGTCCGATTTGAATGATTTTTTTTACCATTTTATAGCTATTATTTTACACTCGAACACTGTATTAATAACTCAAAATCGATTTTTGCGACGAGTGACTGGTTTGGCTTGTCTTTGCCACATATATCCAATTACATTACGTTAACCAGAAGAGACCAAAATTCAGCAAATTGGCTCAATTTCTGTCAAAAAGACTGAGCAGTTAGCATTTTACTTCAATGGAACTTGGAAGCAATTGTCACAGAAAGATTCCAAGAAACCAATCTTTCTCTGCTACAGCAGCAATACATACATGTGCCATCTCCTACTATGGAATTAAAAATATGAAAGGATTGTAAATAATGTGGCTATACAAACTTCAAAAATATTACTATTTGTATACAATGTATCAGAAAGTCCTGTAGTATAAGGTAATATCAAAACATATGTAATATTTGAAAATTCTATATTTAATCTTAAAATATGAGCAAAATTTAATGAGTATATTATGAATAAATGGTAATGCAAGTCCCTGTGGCAATGCTTTAACCCTCCAAGGAATTTATTTTTTGATGCATGTACTAAATATTGGGATATGTTGCTGTTATAAAAATCATAAGAGGTTGATTTTCATTTGTTAAGCAAGGGATTTGATTGGTCAGAAGAAAAGGTATTCTAACTGGAGACGTAACCTGGGATTTTCGATTACCCGGGTGAAAATCTCCCGAGTTCTGGTTAGTGTAAATGTCAAAAAGTCCTACTCGGGTTACCAAATCTTCCGGGATAGACGTGCGGGACACATTCAGCGTAGGGCAGCCCGGGTACAACCCGGGTACAACTCGGAGTCGCCAGTGTAAACAGCACCGAATTTGATTCCGGAATTAGGCCTTACCTGGTGCCTACCGCAGCTGTGGTAAGGTAGGCCTAAACTTTGCTGACAACGGGCTAGGCCTAGACACTTGTCAAATTCAACCCTCTGCGCTCCGGTATAGACATGATATTAAAACTGCTGATTTAATTCGCATAATTTAAAAACAATATGCAGGTACATTGCTTCAATATTGACAATTTATTGTGGCTTCGTGACGACGAGGAACTCAAGTGAAGTGATGATCACCATCGAAACAAAAACTGAGGGCGGTATTTGAACCCGGGTTTGTTGCCAGTGTAAATGGGAGCAACTCGGGATCAACCCAGACTTTTTCGTTCGATGTAAATGGGAAATGCATCAGCACTAACTTTTTTTTGTCAGTTTCTACTTGGAAGTTATTAACTTAATTAAATTCTAATGAAGGAGCTATTGGAAATTTTAATTGAGTTTTTGATATATTTTTTGACAGACAGTGTAAGCCTAACACAGTATTCTTTGAAGATACCCTGAAAAAAAAAATCAATTTTGAATATGAGCCATCCATGAGAATTTGAATGCAAGACTTACAAGTTTATTTCTATTTTCTCCTCCGTCTGCATATTTTGCAAAACTATTTGCTAAATAAGAAAACAAATTTTTATTTTTTTTTTTTCTGTCCCTTCTCCCAAAAATAAGTTTGAGAAACAAAGGTATTAAAAAAGTCTTGCCTAATTGAACAGAATTTTGGCTTAGACACGGGTAAATTAAATGCAATACTGCAAATACAGTACTTGGAGTTTCATCATTGGCAGATTGAGGAAATTTAACATCAACATGACAGAACAAAAAACACAGACTATAAATAAATGCTGATTGCACTATTTTGGTCATTTGCCGTCAATTGAAAGCAACAGCTGCCAGCCTACCAAATCAAATGTTAAGAAAAGGTATTGATCAAGCAGGGGTGGTGAAGGTTGTCACTAACGAACATTTTATAAGATGAGTCAAATGGCCGAGCGGCTAATGGAGGGGTGCCGTAATGTACGGTGTAAGCACTAGTCTATCCAATTACATTACGTTAACCAGAAGGGACCAAAATTCAGCAAATTGGCTCAATTTCTGTCAAAAAGACTGAGCAGTTAGCATTTTACTTCAATGGAACTTGGAAGCAATTGTCACAGAAAGTTTCCAAGAAACCAATCTTTCTTTGCTACAGCAGCAACACATACATGTGCCATCTTCTACTATGGAATTAAAAATATGAAAGGATTGTAAATAATGTGGCCTTAAAACTTAAAAAATATTACTATTTGTATACAATGTATCAGAAAGTCCTGTAGTATTAGAATCAAAACATATGTAATATTTGAAAATTCTATCTTTAATCTTAAAATATGAGCAAAATTTAATGAGTATATTATGAATAAATGGTAATGTAAGTCCCTGTGGCAATGCTTTAACCCTCCAAGGAATTTATTTCTTGATGCATGTACTAAATATGGGATATGTTGCTGTTATAAAAAACATAAGAGGTTGATTTTCATTTGTTAAGCAAGGGATTTGATTGGTCAGAAGAAAAGGTATTCTAACTGGATCGGACAAGAATTGCTAAATGGCTTTTAAATAGCTTTTGGCAATGCTAGTGAATTGAAGCAATAATAGAGCGCAGTGGTGGCAAATTTGTTATTAAGGCGCAGAGATTTGGACGCAACACTGAAATTTACTTTTCTCTTGCAGGTTGCAATTGAAGATAGTTTTCATCAGATAGTGGATCAGAATTCAATGCCTTCTCAAAGCATGGCGACGCTTACAGAGCAGGCATCTAGGCTGCTTGATTTTAATCAGAAGCTGGATATTTCCTTGTTGGATGATGTCGTCGGTAGGATGTATGGCGGTGAAGGTCCAGAAGTAAGAACTTAAAACTTATATTTCAGTTAACATAATTATTAAAAGTGTGTAGAAAAATTAATTTCACACTGGTAATGCTAGTAATATGGTAATCAGAATTAAGTGGAGAACAAAATGAAGATATTTTGGCAGTTTTGTATGTTTAGCCAACAATCATTATATGGTGGCTGAACAGAACTGTATATCTGGGATGCAGCATAGAACTTCATGATACATAATTATCAAAAGAGTTAGTGGTGCAGTAATTCTAGTATAGTAGAACATAGTAAAAATGATGTCACATTGTATTGTTTTTGATTTTGAATCAACAGCAACGCATGGCGCAGGAGATCCTCACTAGTTTAAAGGAACATCCTGATGCATGGACCCGTGTTGACACAATTTTAGAGTTCGCCAGCAATCAAGAAACAAAAGTGAGCCTATTTGCTATCTATTATAAAATGATATTTAGTTTGCAGGATGGAGCGGTACTCTAGATTTGATAGTAAAGGTGCTTGTTGCAAGGGTAAAAAATCCTGGTTCTTAAATGATTCAAACTACAGCTCTATAGTAGCATTAAACTAAAGCAATTGTGGCAAAAATTAATTTTAGTGCTAAGTGCTATACTGTACTTAATAATGATAATGATGTTGATGATGATAATAAAATAAAGAATCTATAATATATACTAACAATACTGTAAGTAAATTTTTTAATTTGTCATCTTCCTTGCCAACAATTTGTTTCTCGATAATCTAAAAATGTGTAAAGGTTGATATATATTATAAGTTGATGATAAAATATATAATCAACTGTCAAATATTGTAATTTACCAGCGCATTTTTTATTTCAGTATTATGGACTGCAGATACTCGAGACTGTCATTAAAGCAAGATGGAAAGTACTGGATCGAGCCCAGTGTGAAGGTATTAAGAAGTACACTGTGGGCTTAATTATTAAGCTCTCGTCAGATGCCAACAATTTGGAGGTAAGAAGTGTCCACATTTCTCAGCTTCATTAAGTGCATCCACTTTAGAAACTTATCTTTAAGCTGTCTCTTATTCAAATTCTGAATTTGACATACCATAGGAATTATGATAATTTTATGCAATAGGCCAAGTAAAAAGAACTAGTTTTTCTTTCCACTTTGCTTCGGGCTTTTATTTGTATATTTGAATTCTTACTCTTTGGTGTAACATTAATGTAGTTTTGGCATGTGTAGAGTTAATTCCACGGTTGTAAGCCTGCCCCACAATATCATCCCAATTTTGTGTTCAAGATGGTGGGCTTATACTAGAGAAACTACTGCAATTGTTTTTGGACAAAATAAATGAAATATGAAAGTTTAGATAAGAAACAACTATTTATTAGGCCTGATTACTACTTAATATTGTGATGTAAGCATTGTTTTTGAAATCTCGCTCTACTTGTTTTTGTGTTGTACAGAAAGAAAAGGTGTATCTTGGCAAGCTAAACATGATATTGGTTCAGATTGTAAAGCAGGAGTGGCCCAAAAACTGGCCAACATTTATCAGTGATATTGTCGGTGCTAGCAAGACAAATGAATCGCTTTGTCAGAATAACATGGTCATCTTGAAGCTCCTTAGGTTTGAAATTTTACTTCATCTTATCCTTTTTCTAATTTGTGTTTGTGGTTTTTATAATTAAAAAATAAATAAGAGAGAAAAAAAAAATTCTGTTGTGATCATTAATACTTATTCAGCCATTTACAAGATTTTTACCATCATATTTATAAATTATTACCTCCAATAATTTTGGATTGGTCAACCGTTTCTCTTGAAGATGGTCACCCTCTACAAAATAATGGAACTGTCCCAAGAATTCTCTATTTCCTCCTTCTCTTTGCTAATAGACTACCTAGTTCATAACTGTTGATTTGTATTGAAAGTGTTTCACGCATGTTTGAATACAGTGTGTGTAAACAAATAGTATTTTTATGATGAATAATGAATGAAAAGGGTCTTTAGAATTTATATTTGATACTCAGTTTTAATGTGTTGGTTTCACTTTCAGTGAGGAAGTTTTTGACTTCTCAAGTGGCCAAATGACCCAGGCAAAGGCAAAACATCTCAAAGACAGTATGTGTAATGAGTTTTCACAGGTCTTTCAGCTCTGTCAGTTAGTTTTGGTAAGTTGTAAGGTTGTGAAGTCATGCTTCCTTTTTTTTGTCACATGATTGGTGGTTAAGGCCTGCTTGGTCCGGAAGTTTAAGTTCTGATGATTACTATTGGTATAGGAGTCGTATGTTATTTTCAATATTTTATATGGCCCTTCTCCTGAAAGATTACTCAATAAAAATGATGATTTTTTTTGTCATTTGGAGTTCATCCTTTTATCTTTTTCATGAAAGAATACATTATGCCTACGATGTCAACCTCCTCCATAAGAATTAAACATTAAAAGCATGCTTTTATTTCCAGTGGAATTCAAACACTCAATGATAAAAACTTACTTACTGTAAGCCCTACTACAAAGACTTAGATGTACTGTACAAAGATATAATAATTTTTATTGTCTCATATACATAAAATAAACTTCACTCCAATGCAATCAGAGACTATAAAACTATATTTGAATATATGACCACGTCCACAGTCATCATATTGACCAACTTTTATGAGCAAGTTATTTATGTGCAAATTTGATTTGTTTTAGGACAATTCCCAGAATGCCCCACTGGTTGGAGCCACTCTGGAAACGCTGTTGAAGTTCCTGAACTGGATTCCACTCGGTTACATTTTCGAAACTAAACAGATTAGTACTCTGATCTATAAGGTAAGCATTTTGAATAGTAACCATATGTAACGCATTGATGAATTACCAAGGTAATCAGCACAATATAACTGAATCTATTACAAGGCAAGGTTTCCACTCTCCTATCGTGTAAAAATATACTGTCTGTTGTTTCTGCTAAGGCCAAAATTAAAATCTTTGTTCTGTCAAAGCCAAGTTGACCCACAATTTTAAAATCCAGTGTCAGCTTTTTTAATCTGTTAGCGTAGACTCGTCATGAACCCTGAATTGTACTCAGTCTATGCAAACATATAATCCTGACACTGATATTCTAATTGTCACTGAATTGTTAGCATCTGTGTTTCATTGGAAGTTTATAACTTATTAAATTCTTTTACATGATAATTTTAGATATTTTTTAGGGTTTTCTACATTTCCACACAGACAGTTTATTTTTAAATGATCGAAGTGAAATGTATCAAATTTTATAACTATGATAATCAACTTACTTATTTCTGTGAAATTTATTAATGGAATATTTGACTGTTGTGCTTTCCTCATTTCCCATATGACCATAGAGTTATAAAAATATTATGTGCTAACTCCAATGCATTAAATCCTTAAAAATAGAAGCTTTACGTGAGTGTACAGTATACACCTAAAAAATCGTTCAAAATTCGTAACCATGTTGGAAAAACATTTATGTGTATATGGAATTATTTGAGCCAAAAGTTTATATTCGCACATGTGTTGCTGAGCTAGCATTCTAGTATTTAGCCTGGGACACACCACTTCGGCCGACAATTTCATCTATGCTCTGTGAGAGCGTTCATCTGATGCAACGTCAGTCTACTGACCGTCTACAGCAATTTGCGTAATGGTCTCATGTAATCATGTTTGTAGCTGAAGCAGTTTGCCCCGGGCTGTATATATCTATGGATGACTGTCGCTGTAGTACAGTTGCAGCATCGTACTGTATATTGTAATTGATTCAGTTATGGTGTGTTGCATTCACCTTAAGTTAACATGGCATGTTTATATGGTGTGAGATTATGTTAAACATTGGGTTACATTATTTGTTGTGTCTTAGTAATTTTAGGATCTACTAATTTTTGTGTTGTATATATTCAAGTGTTGTTTTAATTAAATTAATAACTAATTTATATTTGTGTGATTTTTAAAAAAAACTAAATGGTTTTTTACTGCATTATTTGTATGTAGTAAATAAATTCACCCAAATCATAATCATGCGTTTACATTATGGAGAGTAGTCTTGAGTGGAGATGTAGACAGCATGGTCTTTGGTTCAAGTCATGTACAACTCTCAAATAGGACACTCCACTCTCTAAGCCTCATAATGAGTCCTAGTTAATAAAGGCTACGCTCAGACTAATGCTCAAGCCAGATGTGACTTCAATCCTACAGTGTAAGTCTCGTGCATGGTGTGAACATGTTGAGTTTCTCCAGTGTACTTGGGTTGATCCTAACTGGCCTAACTTCTGAAAACGTCAAGCTTTAACATTTCACCATTAGATTAATTGGTAAATTTTTTTATCAGAAGATAGAGGACCTTAACGTTAAGGTAGAAATGGGGCCATCCAGGATCATCTCTGGTACTTTGCCTATGCTGAATGGTTGTCTGGGTTAAGAGCATTTTCAAGCCAGGAATGTGTCAACCCAGGCTGGTTCTGACTATGAATTTCTTTGTTGGACTGAGTCTAGTCTGAGTGTAGCCATAGAGTATCGTCTAGTTTCATGACATCGGCAAGATCTGTTTCTGCTGTTGGAAAATTGAAACACAAAAGAATACAATTAAATTTTATGATTTTCACTTAGGATTACATAATATTATGTAATATTATGTAACTGACTCCACAATGAAAATGTTGGTTATGAACTTTGGATGAGTTTATTGTTTTAAGACAAATAAATAAAAATTGCATGTTTCTCATTCTCAAAGAGGCAGTGGCCTTTGTTAATTCTGCCAGGTCTCTTAATTTCAATAGATGGCTGCTATGTTACTCTTGTTCCTAGAATATACAAAGTGATTTATGCGTACACGCCACCACTGACAACACATCACTTATTTAAAGTGACTATGCTAATAAAGAAGAAAATAGTGTACAATTATAAAGTATATTGTGAGTTGTCCAAAGTTCCTGAGGTATAGTGTGCATGTTTTTAAAATAGGCACCAGTAGATGCCTGGAAATGGCACTCTTGGAATCCATAAAAAATAGATTTTTAAAAAAAATAGTGTTCTCTGATCAAATGATTGGATACTGCTCCAACTGGTTCCAAGATATCTCGGCGGGAACATTAACTCCTGGACTCTTGGTGGCGCCAATACTGATTTGTGAATTATCAAATGAAATTGACGTTCTCATATTTATAACTAAACGACACCTTGCTACATAAAAGCACCTATGAACAAGAAACATGCAATTTTTGTTTGTTTGCCTTAGAATGGGATGTTGTTTCTTTGCAACTGACAACAACCAACGAAAGTTGTTGTCATTACAAAAGGAACTGTCAATAATTTGCCCTAATGGCTCTTCCTTGGTGTATGCTTTTATGTCCAATTAAAATGTAATAAGTTTGTGATATGTATTAAAATGGTGCACATTCCCTCTATTTGACTTTAATTTGTGCAATATGACCAGTTGAATTGATCCTTTTAAAATGGTGGGTGGTAGAGATTATGTAAAGACCCCTACTCGATTTGTCTTGGTCCATATCCCCCAAACAGTGGCTAAAATATTTTGTGTTTTTCTCAGACTTACAGCAGAGCGATTTCTTGCAGGGCACTTAGTATGTGTGCTCGCTAGGCTGTCATACTCCCAAAGAGAGGGCCTACTGGCAGGTACTGGTAGTAGTAACTAAATGCTTAACCTCATCCTTGGTTTACTTTGGGTGAAAGCAATGTGTCATCTACCGTGGAATACACTTGTCCATAATTAAATAAGAAAGGTACATGAAGTGAGGGCGCTCTCCATACACAAATTTAACGCACATGACCAACATGCTTTCTCTTTCTCGCAAGAACCTTAATTTATAATTTGTGGCTATATATCATATTGATTTATGATTCTGCTGTCTTAACCTCTGCCCAGATTATCGAATTTTCTTTGACAAAAAACTGTTATCTAGTCCAGTTATATAACCCATATATAGTCATGATGTGCCCATATATGGTCATATGATGTCATTGTGACCCTATTTAGGCATGTCACTTGTTTTTGTCAAGTAACATTTTTTAGTCTGAACAGGGCTAAAAGTTGAAAATATATACTTTCTGTGTTAAGCTGAAAACTTGAAAAATAAAATTCAATAATTTAATTGCTGAATTTATTATTAGCTCAATCGAAAATTACAACAAACAAATGTTTTTTTTCGCTAATTAACAGACAGATATATAGTTCCTATATTCTTACCATGATCCTTAAATTGTCTGGTATTCAATTTAAGGATTTGAGTTTGTTTGTACGTTTTGTAAAATTGGCGAAAAAAATGAATTGTTTCAATATGTTTTTAATTAGACGTTGATAACTTCATTTGATTCTTTGAAACAAGCAATTGGTTTTTGGGGTTTTCAGATTTCACAGATTATATATTAGGGAAACACAATTTTTAGACCATGAAAATACATTACTGTACATTGCAGTAGTAACAGAATATTATTATTATGAGAATTATCATATTGAAATCTTTCTATTGCAATCAGTTCTGTTCTGTTGTCCTCCCTTCACAAATTTTGGAATTCTAAAAGGTCAAGTAACTATATTCAAGAGTTTAATGGGCTTTTCTAGATGTCAAAACTAATGGCTTACCAATCAGGACATGGTCAGATATACAGTACGTGCCAGTCCCACAAACATGCATGTTGTCCCCACAACCATGCGTGTGTATGCACATTTATGTTTCATGAGAGCAACAATATACACAAAGGTGGGGCTTAGTGGAAAAGGTCCATTAGGTATTTGTCAACAAATATGACATGGTCAATGATGGCTAATTATTGCTAAAATAGGGAAATGTACTGAACCAAAATGGACACTTTCCCAGTGCATTAATATTACTTTTGAATTGTGTTATTACACCACCTATACAGATAGTTGCTTTATAATGCATGGTGTTTTTTTTACACTTCGTTATGTGCGTGTTTATTTGTGTATGTGTGCTCATTCACTTCATGGGTCATTTCTTACCAACAGTTTTTTTAAAATTTTTCTTGTATTTGTCTTCTGGCACTACATTTGTTCTTTGACAAGCAACCAATGTTTTATGTCCACTGGTATTCTTGCATTTAAACCAATGGGTTGGATTGTTGTTGGTTTAAATATTAGAAAATATATTAGTATTAGAAAAATAATCTAATTGGTTACTTCATTTCATTTAAGGATATGCCAATAAGTGAACTTACTCGCTGTCCTACGTGACATGCCCATTTAACAACAGGGGACTTAATAATTGCATATTTTAATATGATTAATTTGACAAGTAATGTGATTGGCAAGTTCACATAAAGGACACTAATCATCCTACTAATTGATTTAACAGATAGATTGAGATATTAATTTGATTAATTTGTGAAAATGATTATGAAACTCAACACTGGTTGTTTGATTGAAGAAGAAGTGTACGATGTGTAAACAGGTTAAAATGATTACGATATTAGTTTCAAAGGAACGTATTTCACTCCAGATTTGATTACAGCAAAATTCAAAGGCATCTTTTCTATTTTTATAAAATAAAATATGAAAATAAAATTCATCTGAATTAATAAAAAGGATGTATGTTTTGAAGATGTTTTCTGAAATGTTGGTGTCATATTTTGAAATAATTTAAATTTGTAATTCATGCATTATGTTTATAAATATTCAAAGTAAAAATTAATTATGTAATCAAATCTGGTTGACATACTAATAGTATATAAAGTATTCTGTTTCTATTCGCAATGTGCTTTGTATGAAAAAAAAACAGTCCTTATGATTGCAAATTCTATTAACAATTTCTAGCTTTGAATTAAAAATGCATTCAATATAAGGTTAGGTTTCCATTTAATTATAATGGATCACAAGTGTGTAAGATAGGATGTAGTTTATGACTTCTGTCTTTGTAATTTACACCCTACAATGTGCCAACAATTCTTTATACAAAACGTATTTGTTACTTTACAATTTGTGCTAACATTCGTTGATTGTATATTTTACAACAGTTCTTGAATGTCCCAATGTTTCGCAACACGACACTGAAGTGTTTGACCGAGATTGCCGGTATCAATGTTAGCCAGTACGATGAGCAGTTTGTTGTTCTCTTTACGCTTACAATGACCCAGTTAAAACAGGTAATGTTCTCCCTTTCTTTTATAATGTTTTTTAAAATACTTCATTGTAGGTAACACAGTTTTATTACCATGCATCTACAAAGAAGTGGTCGATAAGATACAGTCTTGTATTGTTTTGATAGTTTTTTTCAACTGATGTATCAAAACCTACATGATCATTTCTAGTATAAATCTAGATTTAAAAAAAATACAAAAACTTGCTATGTAATTAAAATTTTCAAAGCAATAATTAAGCTGAAAAGATGTCATCTGAAAAAAGTTGTGGATACTGTGGCTTGGTTGTAAAGCACTCAGCCTTACTGAATGCTTGGGTTGCAATGCTCAGTGACAAAAGAGTAGTAAGACATGGTGGCCTCCCAGAAAACCATGGACCAAGCATTTTTATGTCCAATTTGGACCAGAGTGTGCAGCTCAAGAATTGGCCTACACAGCCACCAGAAGGCATGCCACTTCCCAATGATCCTTGGACCGAGGAAACAGCCATCATCATTATTATATCAGTTTGTGTTGAGTGGGTGTTGTGTTTCTTCTTAATTGCCTCTGCAATGAAAAAGAAAATGAGAATCAAATTTTCAGTAGGAAATTTTATTTATTTACACTTCTGTGGTATAGCAAATACTACATTCAGTTTAGTGATTTTGATGATTTTTTTTCCCCAGATGTTACCACTTGATACCAACATTCGAGAAGCATATGCGAATGGAAGAGACGATGAGCAAAATTTCATTCAGAACCTTGCTTTGTTCCTTTGCACTTTCTTTAAAGAACATATCCAGCTAATTGAGAAGAAACAAGAGCTGTCAGAAATTCTGCTTGAGGTGAGAGCTTGTCAATCAATCAATCATGGAATTTATTGCTACAAAGTCCATAAACAAATGTTCAAACGTTTTCCAAGTGGAAGGGCTTTAGTTTCCTGTTTAAAATGTTAACTGATTTATTGGTTCGGGCCTACAGTTTCATTCGATTGTCACTTTTCATTTTATAGATTCTTTGAGGAAGGAATATATCATGAAAATGAGTATGATTGGGCACACTTTGAGACATTAATAAAATTTTATTCGAATTTATTGTTGTTAATATTATTTTTCCTCTTGGCAAGTATTACTATAATGTAAATTCACTATGTCTAATAAAAGTATATTATGCATAACATTTTAAAACATTGACTTGCAACTGTCAATAACTTTATTATAGTACCTTACTGCGTGCATCATCATGGAATACTAAACCGAAAGGTCCACTGATTAATCTCAGATAAGAAAGTATAATACATACTCCAAGTATTGAAATACACGCCATCGTGTTGGGATTCAATATTTCGACATTAATTATGTCATCATCAGTGATGATGACATAATTAATGTCGAAATATTGAATCCCAACACGATGGCGTGTATTTCAATACTTGGAGTATGTATTATACTTTCTTATGGAATACTAATGTACATGCCTTTTGTAATTAAGTATGACCCATTTGGGGATGCAGGGGATATCAGAAACTGGAAAAAAGTATACTGTATTTTTGATGTTTCTTATATTCCTTTTAGTTTTTCTTTGGGAACTGTCCTATATATAATGGGTTGAAATATACAACTATCTGAATATGCGGTGTAGCTCACAACAAGGTATCTGTTGCTGTATTCCTGATTACATAATAAATGGACCACTCTTCACAAGCAGTTGTCTTTTGCTCTCTGTAGAACCTCTGTTAAGCAGACACCTTCAAGACAAAACGATGGGTCGCTTAATAGAGTGTCTCCTGAATAGGGGATGGCCATAGTTTTAGAAGATTTTCCTTGCTTCACAGATGAAAAATTTCCCCCTTAATATTGGTATCCTAAAAAAGGTGTTGTACTGTATTTTCATTATTAACATTGTTATTTCAGGCACATCACTATCTGACATTGATATCAGAAGTAGAGGAAACAGAGATTTTCAAGATTTGCTTAGAAAATTGGAATACACTTGCCTCAGATTTGTATCGAGAAAGTCCATTTTCGTCAACCCCATCATCACCGATAGTTTTGGCAAACACATCCTCGACAGATATCCCACCCAGAAGGAAAATGTATTTGAGCGTGTTGTCCAAGGTGAGATCAAAATATCAACTTAAAAATCTGTGTGTGTCTGATTTTAGTTAATAAACTTAAATTTAAAATTGAAAATTTGAATGAGAAAATGTCCGCCTCGTGCATAGCTCCACTGATAGAACCTGTTGCTGAACATAACTGTGAAAAAAATATGTAAGAATGGTATAAATATGATTTTTTTTTAGTCAACTAAAAAAGAATGTGTGTGTGTCTGTTTATAGCTAATAAATTTTAATTTAAAATTGAAAATTCAAATGAGAAAATGTTTTACTGTCAATTCACAAATGCATAAACAATAAACTGTTCATAATTTCTTTTTTTTGTGATATTTTTTTTATCAACTTGACTTTGATTGCTGTCAATAACATGTCAATCTGCTCCAGATGGTCTTATTTTTAATACAAATCCTCTGAATATAGGCAAGCTGTAGATGTGGTTAACATGTGTTGTTTTTCCAATCCCAGGGTTAAGTCATATCAAGTCAAGATTTTTATTGCAACAAAAAAAAAAGAAGCCTTATATTGAGACTTATTTGATCAATTTATTTTAATGACTAATATAATGTGTGATGGTTTTTCATATTTTTAAAACAGACATTACTGTAAATCTTGGATGCAAGAGTACATTTTAACTGTATACTATACTATGTAAAACTATACAAACTAACTTTTTCATAAATAATGTTTTTTCTACTTGCATATCAAATTAAGTTCCATAATTACATACAGTAATTACTTATTCCTTTACAAATATTATTAAACAGGTTAGAAAAATTATGATATCCCGAATGGCTAAGCCAGAGGAGGTTTTAGTTGTTGAAAACGATCAAGGAGAGGTTGTGAGGGAATTCATGAAGGATACAGATTCCATCAACATGTACAAGAACATGCGAGAAACCTTAGGTATGTTATTGAAAACAGTTTTGTGTCTTGCACCACAACAATATAATGTACTTAAAACATAACAAAAAATAATCTAATTATTATAGTATAAGTGTTATATTATAAGTGTATTTGTCATGGAAAAACCACAACAATGTAATATACTTAAATAATAATAATTAAAAAAAATGTCTTATTTTTTGCTTATTATGACCACTTTTTAATGTTAGTCAATGCAATGTTGATATTATCAACTTGACTCTATGAAAAAGGTCTTTCATAATTTATTGTCTTGCGTTGTACCACCCGATATTCTTTGTTTCCGGTGAGTAAAGCCGACCCCCCTAAGGACTCAAAAGTGTATGAGTATAACAGGATGAGTAGAAATAGTCGAATGATAGGAAAGGTTCACCACCTCAGTTTAAGATGCCTTTGTCTTTTTTTGTCTATTCAAATTTATGCATTTTTAGAAAGTATTTTAATGAAGTTTTGTACTGCTATCCACTTTACTGTTAGTTATTGTCGATCATTCATTATGTATTTGTACTCAGAGATCTGGGCTGTAAATACTGGATGTCTTTAAAAACTAAAATCACTACAATAGATTTAAGCATGTACAGATTGATTGATTGATTGATTTAATGAATGGATGAATGATTGATTGATGATTAATTGAAAAATGTGCATTCATTTGCAGTGTATTTGACTCATTTGGATTATGCAGACACAGAACAAATAATGACAGAGAAACTACACCTGCAGGTCAATGGACAGGAATGGTCATGGAAGAACTTAAATACTGTAAGTTGGTATAAAGTATTTCTTTCTTTTTTTTTTTTATTTAGAATTCACATACCACCACAAAATACAATAGATATAATAACAAAAACAGACTTAAGTACTTCTTATTTCTATAAAGAATAGAAGGAATTCTATAAAGAATTGTATTGTATTCTTCTGTCATTAAAGTAATAAATAGTGCACAAGATATGAAAAGGTTTTTTAGTCTCCTCACTAGACATTGTCTTAAATTATTTTAACATCCTATTTTGTAATACAGTAGACCACTTTCTTTGGGACACTCCTATTAATGAGACATCCCTATTAATGGGACACTTCCATTAAGGAGACATTTAATGAGAGAAAGTATATCTTTTAACACTATGGCCAACCCCAGTTCATTCAGGTTACACCACTATTCAGGGGATACTTTTCTTGCTTCCGAAGATGTCCGCTCAATATTATTTTCAGCTTCTCGTACAAAAGTTATGACATTAAATTTACTTGCAGAAAGAAATAGATTGAAAATGATACATACTGTACTAATGTATTTTAAAATAGCTGTACATTTCTATAGAGTTTCTATAGCACAAGCCAAGTTTAAGTAAAGGTTTTCACTTTGTTTTTTCTATCTACCAGATCTTGTGACATCTAGCTTGTTATTTTGCTTATTGTAAAAAAATGCTATTGGCATCTAGCTGGTAATCTGCAGAAATAATAATTTGTTCTGGTCTGATTATTTGCATATTTACATTTATATAGTGACTAATGTTGCCATTGTACTTTTTACTAAAACATCCAAAACTAGTAGAATTATTCATTCCAGTGTGCCATTTATAGCGTGCTAATTTTCATGTTATTATTCTCATTGAATTTGCACTGTGACCTGCGAGGAGCTGGATTGATAGTATTGAGTCATCTTAATAATAATAATAATAATAATTTAAACTTCTTTGTACATGTTTATAATACTACAAATACTAAAAATAACACAAAATATTCACATGATTTTTCCTGCAGTTATGTTGGGCAATAGGATCTATCAGTGGCGCGATGCACGAGGAGGACGAAAAGCGATTCCTGGTCACCGTCATAAAAGACCTGCTAGGACTGTGCGAGCAGAAGCGTGGTAAAGACAACAAGGCCATCATTGCATCAAACATCATGTACGTTGTTGGCCAATATCCAAGGTTTCTTAGAGCTCATTGGAAGTTCTTAAAAACTGTTGTCAACAAGCTGTTTGAGTTCATGCATGGTAAGTTGCCAATAACATTTCCGTTTCCTGTTAAGTTTACTTTTTTTTTCTTTCTAGTATTATTTTTTTTTAGTACCACTCCTATGCTTGGTTTCAGGGAAAACCTGATCCTATATTCAGGGCTGGGTAATGTGCACGACCGCGTGACAGACAGTCAGAGGCATCATGAATGTCCCAGAGGCATTTTGGGAGAAAAAATTCAAAAAAACTGTTGGGCTCTATAGTGTACAGATACCATTTGTTGCTTGAGGCACTTTACAAGACAATTTTTATGGTCGGAGGAACAAACATTTTTTTTTTCCATGCCTGCCTATTTTATGTTGTAAATATTTTTATAAAAATATTTGATAATATAAATTGTTTAAATAGATTAAAAGACCCGTATTTAATCATTTTTTTCCTTTTGTTAAATTAAACTTGATCCATTTTTATATAGTATTTTAATGTATTTATTTAGTTAAATAGCAATCAAATATCACCTAATTGTTGACATTATTTTTCATTTGGGAGAAAATGCAAAACCTAGTAATTTGGGAGTTTTTTTATCAGCAATCTTCTCTATTGTTTTCTCGTTTCTGTGCGTTTTGTGTGTTTACAGTGTTTATGTCTGGATTTGTTCCTGTATTTCATTGATGAAAAAAAAATTAATTAAATAAATTAAGTGATTTTTTTTTTTTTAAAATAGAAACACATGACGGCGTTCAGGATATGGCATGCGACACATTTATTAAGATAGCACAAAAATGTAGGCGTCACTTTGTGCAGGTGCAAGTGGGCGAGGTAATGCCGTTTATTGAGGAGATTCTCAACGGTATCCAATCCATTATCTGCGACTTGCAGCCACAACAGGTAAGCCAAATCAAAACACTCTCTAGATAATGTTTTTTTAAGTATTTTATTGCTGTCCCCATTGCTAGATAACTCACTTGATTAATGTATTATCTGAGACAACAATCTTCATTTGCCATGTAAAAAGCGCATTCTGTTGCTAAATATTAAACTATGTAATTGGAATGTGGCAGTATTGAATACCAGTCATTTTAAAGCTTCTGGGATGTAGTTATGGTGGGTGGAGGTGGTTGGGGCCACAATTTCATTTGACAATTTGATGGCCTTTCACCCACCCTTACTAACCCACTTATCCATCCTTAACATCCACTCTTAGTATGTAGAGTTTACCAATGTTATGCACCCACCCTCAAAATGTCTATCACTGACCCATACTTTTTTTTTCAGCTACATCCCTGAAGCTTATACTGTGGAGAATATGAATACATTAAAAAGTCAATGTAGCATGGCAAGCCCCATTTATTAATTATTTATGTAGGTAGGTTTATATATGTAATTGCATTGTTTAATCATATATTCTTAATATTTGCCTCCATAGGTGCACACATTTTATGAAGCTGTTGGTTACATGATCAGTGCTCAGACTGACTCCATGGTACAGGAACATCTGATTGAGAAGTATATGCTCTTACCCAATCAGGTCTGGGATAACATTATTCAAGAAGCAACTAAAGTGAGTGTCAAATGGTTGTAAGAGATGTATCACATAATGATAGTATGAACGGGTGTTAAAATTCTAATGCTATTTTGAAAAACAATTATGTTTAAATTTAATAGAATAAATAGTTATTCTCACTTAACCTAATACTGTATTTGCTGGCCTCTGGAGGATAACAATGCTTTTACACTGATCAGGTCACCCGGGGTAAAGAAGAAATAAATTAAATAAAACTGTATGTTCTCCTTTACATTACAGAAAATGGACATTTTGCAAGAGCCAGAGACCGTCAAACAACTAGGAAGCATTTTGAAAACCAATGTTCGGGCATGCAAAGCTGTAGGCCACTCTTTTGTTGTACAGGTAAATGGAAGTTGTATCTCTACACTCACTTGACATAATATTTGTAATTAATTTGTTACAGTGGTTATAGTATTGGTGTAATGAAAAGGTATATTATTGTAAGTTAATTATATATGATATATCTACATTTTGATTTCTTGTGCTGCCGTTTTTAATTTTCTATAATAAAATTTACAAAAAAAAAAACATGTTTAAACTTTGTTGTTTGTGATTCGTGTTTGTTCTCTACCTGTTGTTTGACACTGCGCCTTGAGCACTAATTTTGGTGGTGATGTTTGTGCTTTATAAATCGTTATTATTACATACTAAAGCAACATGATGAATTTAAGGTGTAGCTCTGTTAAACTGCTTTAGAACAATATAAAAACAGCTCAGTTATTAGCTCACCAATTACAAAGTTATGTGGAGTTTTTTTTAGTTAAGAGAAAGATACCTAATTTTAGACAATTTGTACCCAAGACCTTTTAATATTTTACTTTCATAGTAAAGACATAGCAAAATAATAATTACTGCCCATAAGAGTTTTTTTTTTCGAAAATATCAGCAAGGTTTTTAAATTCTTTTACAGCTTGGTCGTATCTATCTTGATATGTTGAACGTATACAAATGCATGAGTGAGAATATCTCAGCAGCTATTACTCAAAATGGAGAGTCCGTCACCAAGGTACCGCTAATCCGAGCTATGAGGACCGTGAAAAAAGAGACGCTCAAACTCATTTCTGGCTGGGTTAGCAGATCAAATGATCCCAAAATGGTATGTATTCTTTCTTCTTCTCATATAACAGAGCGGCTAATGACTTGTCAGTTACAGAACTGAATCAGAGCAGTCACTCGATAGAGTTCATACCTCCGCCTTGTGGCAAAATACAGAACAATATGCAGCTGGGTTGTGGGGGATTCCATTATTTTCTTTAATGCTCGAGGGTAAGTTCAAGAAGGGAAAAATTGAATTTCTGTGACCTTGATCAAGTCCTTTGACCTTTTTCTTCCCAAAATTGAATCACCTCTTAGATTATTATGTACCATTCCACTAAATTTGATGATATATTCCTTAGTTTTTGCATAATATTGCTCACACCAGACTGCAGTGAACAAATAACCTCCTTGGCGGAAGTAAAATAAGCCCTGTGATGGTTTATTTTCTAAGTTTTTTAATATGAATTTGTATTTAGTTTCGATGCAAAACAACAAGATCTATTGTGCCAGATTATTGCATTGATTTGTATTGTTATTTGCAGGTGATTGAGAATTTTATCCCACCGCTGCTGGAAGCTGTTCTTTCAGATTACAAACGAAATGTCCCAGCTGGTAGAGAACCAGAGGTGTTAAGTACTATGTCAACGATTGTAAACAAATTAGAAGTAAGTGTACTGATCTTCAATGTACTTTCAATGTTTTTATTAATGGTTTCAAAAATAACAAGTATTTATTTCAAAGAATTAACTTGTAACTGAAGGTGAGCCTGGATGTCTTTTTAATGAAGCCTCATGATTGCAGTATGAACATCCTATTATCAAACTGCATCCCCAAAACACCTCCCCTTCACTTAATACAGCATATTTATTTGGAGATTTAATTCAATAATTAAGTTACCAGTATAGTTCTTCCATATTTCTGCATTATAACCGCTTGCAGATTGATCAAAATAGATTATTTCCTGTGATACATTATAAAACATACAAATTAATGGGCTATTATTTATTCATTTTTATTTCTATATTTGCTTATGACTTAAAGATATACTGTCTGTGCTAATAAACTTGAATGGAAAAATTTCTGAATTGCTAACTTTCTGTAATATAGCATTCTATTGAAAATTCGAATGAAACTTATTTATTAAATACTTTTTTTCAGAATCATATCACGAATCAGATCCCCAAAATATTTGATCATGTTTTTGAGTGTACTGTTGAAATGATTAACAAAGACTTTGAGGAATACCCTGAACACAGGACAAATTTCTTCCTGCTCTTACAAGCAGTTAGCAATCACTGCTTCGCAGCCCTCATACAAATACCAGCGGCGCAGTTTAAGCTTATTCTCGACTCGATCGTATGGGCCATGAAACATACAATGCGCAACGTAGCAGATACTGGTGGGTTTTCTTTATATGCTTGTCAGTAGTCATTCTAGACTTTGTAACATTTCTTGATACCTTGTTTTTGAACCTCATGCTTTAACATGCTGTAAGATATATGAAGATGTCCAGTCCTAGGCCCCAAAAATACATTGTGTGTGTACTCAGAACCAACATCAGTGACCAAAAACAAAAAAGAAATTAATATATCCACATTTTAAGCATTAAAATGGTCATTTACTGGAATCGACTTACTATTGCCAATGTTGTGAGTAAAAGTGTTACAGCTTCTCTGTACTAAGGTATACAATATTGCCATGTTCTTATGCTAATTACTCCTAAAGTTTAAATTTTAGCAACAATATGCTTGGTTTTGGGATGGCAAGCTAGCCTCATATATACTTGTGATGCAGTGAATTTTATGTATATGTATATGGATTGCATGAAATAATGTTGTTGTTTGTCTAACAGGTCTTGCAATACTCTATGGACTGCTCCAGAATATTTGGCAAGATGCCAGCGCTGCCCAGAACTTTTACCAGACTTACTACACAGACATTCTGCAACATGTATTGTCTGTTGTTACGGATACATCTCACACAGCAGGTAAGTATGTTTGTAGCATTGTGAAATGCGTACAAAAAGTTATAAAAGTATGTCATGTTTTCCTCAAATCATAAATCATTACATACTACACCCTACAAATAGTAGAAGCATTCAAGTACTGATAAAGTGGTCGAAACATGAAGCCAAAACAGATAATGAAGATTTTTTAGTAAGAAATTTTTTTTAGTGTCGCATTATTAGACACTAGCGTCTGCACACATTTTATAGAAAACGTACAAATTACATCATTACAACAGATCCAGATCAAGACATCTATCTGAGACTATAAAGTCGAACGCTTGCTGTTCGATCGTCGGCTGACAAATCAGTTTCTGTTCTCAGTGAGCACTTGTGCTGATTGTCGGTGGCAGTCTAAATAGGTTGTCATTAAAAACGATCTGTTGTGTGGTTATACCCGGCTTTTTATATGGACGCTATGCAAGTGCTTGAATTGTACAATTAAAAATATTTGTTTTTTGCAGGTTTAACCATGCATGCAACGATCCTGGCATATATGTTCAACTTGGTGGAAAGGAAGAGGATAGTAGTTAATCTGGATTCTAATCAAGGTCAAACGGACAACGACGAGTTCATCAAGGAGTACACAGGCAAGCTTCTCAAGAATGCCTTCCCACATCTTCAAGAGTAAGTACAAGCTATGGTAGTACCGAATCTTATTTGTAATTTTTTTTTTTTTTCCTTAAAGCAATTTAAAACAATCAATTGTGTTTTCAACTTTAAATTTCAGATACAAATCGCAACATTCCATTTTTTCTTATGTGAACACACATTAATTTAGGGGCTTACAGTACTTTGTTGTGTATAATATAGCATAGAATGATTTCAAGATTAATAATGTTGATTTATGTTCTTGTTAGGTTACAGATCAAGTTGTTTGTAACAGGTCTCTTCAGTTTAAACCAAGATATCGCAGCCTTCAAGGAACATCTGCGAGATTTCTTAGTACAAATAAAGGTATGTTAAGCCAATGTGCTGCTCTTAAAATAATTTTTTAGTATACCTTACAGGTGGGCAGCCCATTTGCCACATATGGCTTTGCTTGCTTGTGTTAAATAAAAAAAATTCAGTTTGGCCCTCCTACCCATTTTTATGCCAACCTCTTGAGAATGTGCATAACTCATTTTAGCCTATATTTTGTTGGAATATTGCTTTTCAACCGACATTCATTCATCATTTTTGTAGGAAGTCGCAGGAGCTGATCTCTCTGACCTATTCATCGAGGAACGCGAGTCCATGCTCAGGCAAGCTGAAGAGGAGAAAAGGAAGGTTCAGCTATCTGTTCCTGGTATTATCAACCCTCATGACATGCCAGAAGAAATGCAAGACTAGAGCCCTCTGTAGTGATCGAGGACCTGGAAGAAATGCTATGCTGTAAGCGGCTGATGCAGAGGCATATCAGAGACGGTACAAATACTGCGTGCGATGCAATACTGTATCACAGAATGATACTGACAGTAATATGCACAGCTGTTGAATGTTGTAGAAACGTACTAAACATTAGAATCAGCATAGTCCGTGACAGATGAAGATCCCAGATGGCCAACCGGTACATCCCGCTTAATTCACTGTCTTAGCAGATATAACTGGTACATCACACATGGATATTAACATTCTTACCATTGTATCAGTCTGTTATATCACCTACAACCTGGTTTGAGAACAAACATAGAGACCAGTTTCTCATAAAGCCAGATGATTAAATAATAATAATCCGAGTGATGATAATTTGATCATGTCCATTGTTTTTCCCTTACTATTTATTACATTTTAGTAAATGGATGTGTTTTACATGGTTGTGTTAACATTACTGTATTCTTTTTTACTTTTGTTTGTGTTGTAATAATTGTACATATTGTAATATAGCCTGTACATAATCATTTTTGCTTGTTAGCAATGCGATGATTTTGAGTTAATTGAAACAGAAAAGCTATTTTGCATTTGTAATTTACATGGAGCAATTTATCAGTTGAAGAATGAACAAGTGAACAGTTTGGTTTGTCATGTGTTGATAGTAGGGAAATATTAAATTGTTATTGCGATGTTCAGTATGAGATAGTACAGTACAGTTTTTGCATGCTTTTAAAAAAAAAAAAGACTTAAAATGTATGTATGAAAGTCTAATACTGTACTGTTTCCACAATGTGATAAGAGAATGAGGTCGTATGTTTGTATTTTGCATGTAATGACTATATTCATATAAAATTTGATTATTGTACATCCTTTGTTAGCCGATATGTTTGTTGTAAGAAGTAATGGGAGAGTATAGATTGTATGAAATTATTGGTTTGACATAAGGTGAGTAGTGAATGTATATTATAGTATTAAGAAGATTTATAATTATTGTTTCCTTGCTTTGTGGTCTTGTTGGTGTTAATAAGATTGGAAAGCAATGTAAAGTGCATTATTTGAGTAACAGATACCAAAGTAAAGTGATTAAAAAAACATCTCAAAATTTAGATGGCTATGATGTTTGTGGCTTTGAAATGTGTGTAAGCATCTGTTTCTTGCCGATTCCTAATTCCCATTCTGAGTCATTAAAGCTTTTATATTTGATTAAGTTAAGTTTTTCATTTCATTGGTTCTAGTGTAATCATAAGTATAGATTATATTCCAAGTAGTTAAGTAAGTCTATGTTCATGGTTTGCCAGGTGAGTTTGGACAATTAGGTCACATATAAAAAGAAATCTGGTTCTCATTCCCGCCTACATGATTTTTTTTTAGGCCGTCTTTTTTCTTTCATCGACAACACACTTAGAACACTTGCAGAAATGCTGTTGTCCACATAAGCAGTACAGAATGTGTGCCTAGTATGTGTCCATCTTGTGGTCATCTTTGTGAATGAAATAAAGAATGCTTTGTACTTATTTTTACCGCGCCCTCTTTTGTCTTTTAAAACAACAGATGAGAAACATGATATTTAGCCTTGATTTATTAGTGTATGCGAAAATATGGGATTTCCTTATGCAGTGTCATATAATAATAGGACGATAAAGCACAACTAAACATGATATTATGTGCTTGAACATCCAGAGAAATGGATTTATAAAAGACCAAACCAGAAAAGATCATAACCAAGTGTAAAAGGAAAATATTAAGCGTGCTAACTTTTTTTTTCTTTAATGATTTATTGCCGCTGTTAAATTCTGTGCAAACTATCAAATTTTCTTTGACAAAAACAGTTGTCTGACCATATATAGTCACAATGTGCCTATATATGGCCATGATGTGATGTCATCATGACCATAATTCGGCATGCAACATGATTTTGTCGAATACAGTTTGATAGTCAGCAGAGGACTTTACAAACTTTAAAAATAACATTCAATATTTTCTTTGTATATTTCATACAACTTACAGGTACATGAATATCTATAACCTACAGTATATAATCTCTGCACACAGCCTTAAATTTGCTAGTAATACATTTTTGTAGCCTGTAAATAAATAAAACTGAGTTGGCTGTCTGTCATATAGGAAGTTAAAAACTTATTTAATCTTAAAATGAGCTACAGTATTCCATATTTTAGTTAAGTCTTGAGTTTTTAATGATTTTTGAAGAGGTTTTTTTTTTCAGATTTCACACACATATTGTATCTTAAATAATGGTAAATATCAATCAAATATCAGCAGTAATTATTATTCATTTTGTCATTATAATCATATTACTGTTATGTTAACTATTACTGGTTAAAAGGGAAAAGAAAAACATTTGCATATTTGTACAGTACTTCAATTCTAGCAGAAGAGAATAAGATTTTTTTATTAGGTTAACCATGAAAGCTACTTTTGGTAAACTAGGTTACTTATCTTAGTTAACATAGATATTTTAAGTAACCTATGCTACTGTTAAATAACCAGGTGGTAACCAGGTCAGAAATGCTCCAGGGTGATTAAAGAAATTTGTTGGTGGTTATATCAGCATCAACTTTGTACATCAATGTATGAGTATGCATACGATAAATCTTGTTAACTATCAAATTTAATTTGACAAAATACATGCGAAATGCCTAAATATAGTCATGATGAAATCGTATCATGACCATATATAGACACATCATGAATATATTCAGATGATCGCTATCAATTTTATCTGTGCCATTAAATTTTGTATTTCCATGGATTCTTGTGCTGCAAGTTAATTGTGCTGTACTTCTGTCAAAAGTTTAGATATAAACATAAATAATTTGTTTATACTATAATGTTAAATAATGTTGTTTGTCTTTCGATATTTTGTATTGATTTTTTCCGGACTCCCAAAAACCTGTAACTGTTGTATAGTTAAGAATAACAGCATTAAGGAGTTGTTCACCATTATCAACATTACTCTTTCTCTCCCCTCTGAAAGCTCTGTACATGGAAAAAGTTGATTTCGCCAAAACCATTCTCCATTTTTTGTGATGTTAACTAAACTACTCTACTGTACTTGGTTGCATAATGTCTGTTATATCCATGGTTGCATTATAATTTGTCATAAAATTTTAAAAATTTGAATATTGCACCTTATTTTGAATAATTTTCATGCATATGTAAAAGTGTACAAATTTGTAAACTCCCATAGCATAGTGTTAGTACACTTGTAAAAATTTTGATAATTGTGAACGGCCAATTAACAATGCAACATATCAAACTCTTGTAGAAAATATTTTCTTATTATTTATTATAACTTTGTGCATAGTTACTACAACTTTGGTATGTACATCAAGATGTATACCATGGATACACCAGCAAATTTCCAATAATTAGCTAGTTATACACCAGTTGTAGCAACATCAACAATAGTTTTTACTACTTTTTTTATCCTTCTCCCTTCAGACTATAGGTTTACTTATGAAATTGTATGTGTATGATGCAAATGTTTAATTGTAATAAAAGTTTGTGATTGTAATATTAGTTGTACTGTATATATTTTGTTCCTTTATTTTATTTCGTATTTATTTGAGTAGACAAATTTGAATCTGTCAACAGTATCGAAATTTGTGTGTGCGATGTGCCCATATATAGGCATGATGATGTCATATTGCCCCCAAATATAGGCATATCACAGTTATTTGTTACATAAAACGCTGCGAAGAGATGTGCAGAGTGTGCCCTATATGGCACTACTAACAAATCATTTTAATACGTGCAGCTAATGCAAATGCACAGTGATCACAACCAGCACTATGGATTTATGATATAGCAACCACTCTACAACCAGCAGTTTGAAAACGGGTGATTGAAGTCAGAACTGACTTATAAAGCAATTATTGTCAAGTAATTTCGTACACTATATGAAAATAGAAGTCTTAGGAACCATTATTTCCTTCAAAAACTGCTTTCAGCCCTTCGGGCTTGAACCCCCGACCTTTCCGATTGAAAGCCCAACGCTTCAATACATCTCAAATTGGATTAGATACCAGTGACCTCCAATCTGCAGTATTATTAGTTGTGCCAACAGTACATTGTAATGCATACAGGGTACAGACAACATTAAGTGCCAATGGGCCATAACACAGGGGTCCCAATTCTTCCGGAGTCTGTGTGGCCTTATGTACCTCCCGCAAGCCAGCAAATATCTCCCCAGTAAATATCTCTCTAAAACAAATTTACCGCAAATTCATTTTGCATGCTTTTACTGCAACTGCATTGTGTCTCCCTGAAGCCTGCAGAATAAAGGACAAACAGAGAGCACACTGATGCACAAGCTCTTTTCCATACTCTTTTAAAATTTAATGTTTTCATATCTACTTGCATCCATCATACACTACCCATTGTGCAGATAACAACACACTGTTAACAACCTTCCAAAAATAAATGAATAAATAATACAGTATTTACGGTTGATTTCATTCAGAAACATGAAAGACATTCAATCTACAAGTAATACACTTGTTTATTTTTAAATGCTGATATTTACATAAGCTATGTCAACCATTTTTTTACAAACCAGTACAGTACTTTACATTTCTTAACATCAATCAATAATAATTTGGTTAAAATGTATTGTCCCATGCAAGATACCCCCCACCCAAAAAAAAAAAAAAAAAAAAAAAAATTGTCCTATACCACCATACCAAAAAAAAAAAAAAAAAATCATTTTTGAAATTAACTTGCCCATTTTGAAGTAACAAACATTTTCTACTTGAACATAGAAGTTAGAGTATTGCTACTTGAACAATGTTTACCCATAATTCAAGTCATTTTAAGTGTTTTTATATTATACTATACTACAGTATAATTATCCAGTTTAAAAATCAGGGTACACATTTTTTACTGTAATTCAATAATTTCTATGCTCAAGTTAATAATTTGTATGTCACTGCAAAATGACATGTTAATTAAAAAATAATTTTTTTTATAATGATATTCTGTCATTTTCAAGGGGCAATACATCTTTAAACCGTGTACACTAAGTTTTCAAGATAGACAATTTACTTTATTTAATCTCCATCACATTAAACGGCGATTAAATTTCTGAATAGCCAACGAAAAAATGCAGTGCTTTAAAGCCTCATTTTCAGTCAGGGAATGCAGATTGTTTTAATGTAATACTTTCCACGAATTCTAAAATTTTTTATCCATATTACTGTATGCTATATTTTAATTATTATTACTATTATTATGAATTCCATACATAGTAGTAGCAATAAAAAATTAGTTTCTAATTATAAATTCTAAAATTTTTATTTTTTACCATATTACTGTATTATATATATTTTAATTATTATTATTAATTCCATACACAGTAGTAGCAATAGAGAGTTAGTTTCTAATTATAAGGCCAAAAAAAAAAAGTGTTGGCCACGTTTTGAGAAAATCCAAGAAATGGGTAGGTTGGTAGGAAAACTTTTTTTCCTTTTAATTTTTTACGCCTAAAAAGTAGAAAATACACAAGATAATACAATAGGCTAGGCCTTGGCTCCCTAGCCTGGCTAAGGCTATTCCAACCTTATTTTCTTATAAAAAATATTGTTCGTTGTAGTAAAAAAAAAAAAAAACTAAAATGCCAACCCTGAATTTCGTAAAATTTGAGTCGGTCGGGCGTGGCCAACACAATAATTTTTTTCATTTGGCCTAACATTAATAATGCAAGTTCAGCACGCATGAAGATCATCACACAGGAATGTACAGTAAATGTAAGCACATCAAATAAGCCATTGTCTTTTTCACAATCAATCTGAGAAATTTTCATTAGACATATATATAAATATAATCATTTTTGTTCAACTTATGTTCTGAAGAATAATATTATACCATTTGCATCATCACTATCATTTTTTTGTATAATTGAGTTGGCATTTGTCTCCTTCATATAACATACATTATGAGAAGTGTCTTAAATATTACTTCAAGTTGAGTCAGGTTTAAAAAGTCTGACGTGATAAAATTTTTTAAAAATCAATCAACACATTGACTTCCAAGCCATTTTTCCTAGTTTCATCCCACATGGCAAGACATAAAGGGAGCCACCACAATAAAAATCATTCAAATCAACTGTATAGAAACACGAACAAACATACGGTATATATTTCAGATTGTTACTTCCGGGTTTTCCCCTGAACATCCAGGGTGAGAGTTCAGGTTCTGGTGAGTTTGCGTGCATTACAGTAGCGGTATGTTTAGACAGGTGAGGACGTGAACTCGTGCCCCTGGCAGCGAACATGTTAAAATATTGAATTGGCTCATTTAATTAAGTTATCCTATGGCACACAGATCACTAATTCAGTTTTACAGGCGTTTTACTATCAAAATGCTTAAAGCTTGTCCAGACTACATTTGATTTGACAAATTAAATGTTACAAGTTACATGCCTAAATATGGTCATCATGACATCACATACAGTATATTATATAGCTTAACAGTTGAACTTGCCTAAGTCGAATCCAAAATGACATTGAAAATTGTTCAACTTGGATAAAATTTGACTTACTACAGATTATTCATTAATACAAAACACAATAATTTGCCACGTAAAATAAGATCAACTTAGAAATTATATGAGTTAGGCAAGTTTAACTGTATAATAAAATGTAATATACATTTTTTTTGTACAAAGAAAATTTGATAATCTTGACAAAGCTTTACAGTACTTTAAAAATCCTTATATTTTCAGCAAAGGTAAATGTAATGGTCAAAACCATGTACTGTATTATTTTGTCTAAAACGCAATTAAAGCTTTCATGTTTTAATTTTCAATTATCAATTATTATTATTTATCAACTCAATACAGACAGTACACACTACACCAATGGCTGTCGGTTTACGCATTTCCATGGAGAATGCAACACAACAAGAATCACGTAACAGATCGTTTTTTTAAAATGATGAGCTTAGAATGTCAGTGACAATCAACAGACGGCTTTTCATTGTCAAGCACTGACAGAGATGACATGGATGTATCAACCAATAGCCGTACGACTAGTGTTCTAGTTCTTGTGCTGTTGAGATAGTGGGAGGGTTACTACCATGTTCACTTCCAACCATTAGCCATGGCATCCTCCTCCTCTTCCTCATCATCAATATCTTCAGAATGAATAGAGCTTGGCGTTCTTTCACCCGGAGACAATCCATCATGGGAGTCTTCAGTCTTTGAAGGTCCGTGTCTGTCACTAGTATAACTAGACTCATCTTTTGACCTCATGTACCTGTAATCGTCTTCGTCATTACGATCAAAAGAATACGTGTACTCATCATCGTCTTCTTCATTCGTATCGTCGATACCATTAACTTGACCTACGGACACCTGTCCACGGCTCTTACGTAGAAGAAAATCCTCCTCTATGCCAGCCTCTAGAAGGGCCTGCTGATACTTGCGCTCTGCCTTGCGTTTAGCATTTATCTACATGGAAAATAGAACATTAATTAATTTAGAAATTAGCCTGTTTCATAAACGACAAAGTATAAAATTAATTACTGTATAACATTTATAATTAAAAGAGGAAAAATTTGCTACGGTCAAAACATTATGTCAATATAGGCATGTCTAGATGGGTATACGAATCGCCCTCTGTTGCTGTTTTTAAGACCAAACTCAAAACACACCTTTTTAATCAACTAAACATGCACAGTGCCTTTGATTTTCACTTTGGTTTAGTAATATTGGTGCTTTATAGATTATTATTATTACACTGCCTTCTGTCTGAAGAAAATTTACAGCAGATGACATGTTGCTTACCCATTGCAACTGTTTATAAGCCTTCTACAAAGCTAATAATGCATCTATACAAAATTTGCAGACGTTAAACGTGTACTTCACATTGTTTCAGAAGAGTCATTTTGCACAAATACTTGTACTGCATGATACACAAATACTAAAACATCATGGCTAAATCTTGTCTGAACATGCCTTACAATAAAAAGGACATAATTTGTAGTTACAGTATGCTAGAAGTGAATTGAAAAATATTATGTTTGCAGTACTGTATATCCTAATATTGTATTTTAAAAAACTCCCAGGATGCTGGTTGATTTACAAACCGTTGATTCACGTTCAAAAAGTAAAGGACGACTTTCAACTCTACTTAACATCTCCCTCAACTCCTGCTCATACTCCTCTTTTCGTTCTCGGTCTGCCTCCCTGGAAGATCAAATTTATCATTATATTTTATTCTTGATGTATATTAATAAAAATATTAAAGGCAAGTGTTTGAGGTGTATGCACTTAGATTGATTTTCCTGACACTACAGGTATAACTATGCACTAGCTGATGATTTCCAGAAGCTTCTTTATTTTTTTTGGGGGGGGGGGGCACAGATATGCCAATGGCACCAGCCACTTGCCGCGATATTCCTATAGCATGCTATAAACCTACCTTTTAAATTTATACTACAGTAATAATATATATTAATTCTGCTAATCGCCACCGCGTAACTTCACCTATCTCCTCTGAAACTACTGGCAGGAATGTGCTCATATCTCATACTCTGTGGTTTCTATGTGTCACGACCACATTCTGCTACTTTTCAAGGTTGGACATTGGATAACAACGCAAAAATCAGTCAAAAACCACCAAAAATCAGTACCTGTTTCACCATGTTTCGCAAATCGCTTGCGTCACATAAATAAATTCCCTCTGTTAATCTGTACCGCAGTGCTTCAATTTAAGAAAAACAGTCTGTCTCGCAGCTTCATTACGTCACCGCGCATGCCTCCGTCAACACAATATATGAGCAGCATGTACGCCACCATACCAAGGAGTACGCATAGTATGCTGAATATATTACTGTAGTCTTATAGGCCTATGCCTCAAAAACATCAGCAATGTATGGCACGTGCTTCCCTGTCTGCTGAAATGCTTTGGAATTTCAATGCACATTAATGTTTGTTGTGCTACTCACTCATCTATTCTAAAACTGTTGTGGCCCCCTGCCCCAGTTTGAAAAATTCTGGATCCGCCCTTCATCAAACTGCACAATAATTCCTCACAACACAAGGACTATTCAGACACTCAACATCATCTACAAAGACGTCCTTTAGAAAAACAATAGCATGCTAACCATCACATCCACAACAATTGCCTCCTCGAGTTCCCATAACATTCAACGATATACACCGCCACCTTTCCCCATTCATGAACATCGCGCGGAGCATGGTTATATGCTAGTTATATATATTTATTAATTTAAAAATACAAGAAAATTGTAATTAATTTTAAATATTCTGATTGTTTTCTATCATTTTCTCCAGTAAAAAAAATTAAATTAAAAATTGTTATTTAAAAAAAAAAGGTTAAACAAACCTATGTCTGCGGAGTTTGTCTTTCTGAGTCGACTCCAATGTGCTTGAGTTGTCATTTGCCATAGCCTTTTCTGCAATGAACCTTTTAAGTTTTCGTTCTCGCATTTGTTTCTCTTTTTCTTTTTCCATGATATCTTGTCTCTTTTTTATTTCTTCCTCTTTCCTCTTCTGTTTTAATGAATCCCTTAGAGATGAGGTGTGAGTAGTCTTCGTTGGGATTGCATCATCTGGAATGTTGATACTACCATGGGAGAACTTAACGCTGGATCTTGAGCTTAAATATGGCCATCTCTGTTCAGTCAATGTTTCCTCATCTTTCGTAATATCCATCAACACTTTGTCTTTCTTTGAAGGTATTCTGGCTGTTCTTAAGTTGAATGGTTCGACAACCGTCGGCTCTTTTACTTGTTTTTCTTTGTCCAATTTCATTTTGAACTTCCAATGCAATTCTTCGTAGTCAGGAACATCTCCATTAATGTTTGGTCTGAATTTATGCTCGGACGTTATAAAGGCATTCTTTTCACGTTTCTTGTACATCTTTTGTCTCATCTTTCCATCTGTGTATTCTTTACCTTTAACTTGCATATTTGGAGGTAGGGCTGATTGTCTCAGTAGTTCTTCTGCTCGCATTTTGATACGAATTTTGCGATATTCTTCTTCTTCTGCAATTTTCTCATCGATAGATGAGTTCAACATCTCTTTTGGGACTGGGTTAGCCTTAAATTGCTTTTTCTTAGGCTTTGGAGCAATAGATTTGAAAGGTTTCCTTTGATTTTGCTTTTTATCCGTTTCTCGCTTTATAAATGTAAATGGTTTCTCAGTTGACTTCAAAACTTCCTTACTTAGTTCTTGATTTCTGCGCCTTCTTTCTTCTTGACGTTCCATAATTTCATCAAACAGAGGTAGATAGGTATGTCCAGGTACAGGTGTTGCTGTAAACTTCTGGCTGCATACTGCTTCAATTTCTTTTTCTTTTTCTAGTTGTTCCTGCTCATGCTCTAGCAATGTACGCGATTTAGTTCTTTCTTTGCATTCATCCCGCTGAGTCATTTTAAAGGGTTTAGGTATTGTGATCTTTGGAGACCAATCCTTTCTCTTTGATGTTGATGACTTGGAAGAGGCCACACTTCGTGCTCGTGGCATGTAGTCTTCCAAAGAGAAATCTTCCCACATATCCTCAACCATAGCTACTGGGGTACTTGATCTTGATGACTGCAGCCTTGAATGTGTTGCTGATGAACAAAATGATAGACTCTCAGAGCTTCTGCTTAGATTTCGACTGGAACTTAAAGCAACATTTGTGAATTCATCACCAGATACACTGCCACTACGACGATGAGATCTCTGTTTGTGTCGACTCCCTGACCACGCTGAACGAGTACGACCGGTTGGAGGTTTACTTGCTGACATGTCTTTTAGATTGTCATTCAGTGCAGACCATGATGGTTGACTTTTGTTATATGCTTCTATTTCATCATTAATATGGTGAAGTTTATGATCACCGACATAAACAGGATGACCCCGACTAAAAGAAGGAGCTGGTGATCTTTCAAAATCAAATTCGTCTTTACATTCGTCTTTCAATTTGTCATTGTACATCGTTTCAAATAATCCTAGAGTACGTCTGTGCTCTTGTCGTAACTCCGTTAGTTTAGCATAGAAATCAGCATCACTCAGATTGCCTAAATCATTTGTTAGGCTTTTTATCATACCGTCCGCAGTTGAAAAATCAACAGAGCGAGGAGAGTCATTCCCGGCTGGGCTCTTCTCCATGAATTTATTGCCTTCTCCATTATGAGCTCCAAAATCATTTTGAGTACCCCAACTTTGATATAAGCTGTCTTCTCGTTCGTCTAAAGTTGCTGCAAGTTTAGTTTTTGGGTTGAGTGGTGTTTTAATACAAGAATTTGTTACAACAGACAAACTGTGGGCAGTTGCCATGATGAATGTTTACAATATGGCTGAAGAAATTTTTAAACCTTAGGCTCTGCAAATAATTATAATAATATAAATTATATATCTTTATTTTATCTACAATATAACTGAACCTAATAAATAATAAATACTATTAATTAAGGATCTTATATTTATAATTTTTAACACAAATTTAATTGGTGCTAAATGCTACTGAACTTCAATTTTCACCAACACTTCTTCGTCACTACACATTGTCTTCTGGCACGTTCTCGTTCGGTCGCATGAATTTTTTGATGGTAGAGTAGGAATCCGCTTTTATCAAAAACATCTTTTCTTGTATATTGGTCAAAATATATTAGGCCAAAATGCCTGCACAGGGAAAGAAAGGCGGTAGAGGTAATGTTTTTCTTGATAAAGAAAAACCTACCCAAATTCGTAACAGCAATATCAGTGCAGCCAAAGGTAAGTGTCGGGGGGTGCAGACAGTGAATAGTGATAATATTTTCCGCTGCCTGCCTTGCTATGATGAATGGGTTGGCTTTCTCGCTAGGCCTAGGCCCTAGGTGCGGTAAATTGCATTATCCAATAAAATGCCTCCACCAGCGTGAAAAAAATTGCAGTTGGTAATATGATTATGATGGTTTCCATTGTATTGTTTCAAAAGTTAACCAAATAATAAAATTGAATTTAAAATCCAACAAAATTTATACACTCCATCGATCGGCATCGTGTTGAGATTCAATAGTTTGACATTTATTATGGCATGTATTTTTTTAAGTTTTATATTTATGCAAGGAGATTTGGTAAGCAACAACTCGCTACTTGGAGTTATTTATACAAGTTTCACATCAAGTTGTTTCATTTCATTTTTTCAATATCCAGGTAAAAGCAAAACATACAACAAACAAGATGGTATTGACTGAGGATTGCCAAAAGTTCAGTAGAACTATCAAGTGGCTCTGCTATAAATACTAAACATCTTTACAGGAAAATATACACACAAATCCAATATCAGGGAAAAAACAGTTATTTACAATTGTGTTTTAAATGTATTTTTGTAACATGGTATACGTTAATGCAACAATAATGAGTGATTTCACAAGTCTTCATGAACAACGACGTCACACTGGTGGCGACATTTTATTGGATGATGCAATACCTTTAGTTGGAAAATAAGATATTGTGGTACCGTATCCCCGACATATATGGGCATATCACATTCATTTGTCACATTTAAAAAAGTTAGTGTGAACAGAGATTTATACACAATAGAATTAATAATGCAAAAGAAGAAAATGAAATCACTGGAAGTAATTGCTTCTCCATCTGTTTCTGAAGTCTACAGATTTAACTAATAGAATGGTAACGTGTGCTGATCTTTGTTGCTTTTGTTTCTGTTTTAGCTGTTGCAGATGCAGTTCGAACAAGTTTGGGACCAAAAGGAATGGATAAAATGGTACGCCAGCTACTATAGACAAATCCAATTGGGAGTTTTCAAAAGGGCACCATTGCTAGGGTCCTTCTTGTGGTTTCCCCACCCCCCCCCCCCAACCATTCATGACATGTCATGTCGTGGCAAGTCTTTAGAATAGATTATGAGAGACAAATCGGTAAAACCCACTTGTACTTCATGACAATTCCCCACTGTAAGTCCCCAGCTATGGTGTCTGCAGGGGGAGAATAATTAACATAAGTTTACCATTATTATTTTTATTTTTTATTATTATTATTTGTTTTGTTTTATGTTCTGTGTTAATATGTATCTAGTGTGTACCAACGACAAATTTCTTTATTTTATGAAGACAATAAACTTTGAATTGAATTGAAGAATTATTATTATTTTTATTATTTTTATTAATTATTATATTGTTATTTGCTTTAAATGAAAACAATTTCTCACCATGTAGCGTTGTTAAGTCAGGAGAGCAGCAGGGTTTCTCATGATAATTTCGAAACCATGTAATATACTGAACATTTTTTCCTGACACAAATCATCTCGTGCTTAATTTTTTCTCAGATCCAGAATTCCAAAGGCGACGTAACTATAACAAATGATGGCGCTACCATCTTGAAGCAGATGCAGGTACTGCATCCAGCTGCAAAAATGGTGAGTTGACAGAATGTTTACATATGCTGTGTCAACCAATCACATAAGCAGGAGCTCAGGATGTTAACATTCACAATTAGCATTGAAGAGTTAAATTATTGAAGCGCAACAAAATTATGAAAATGTGTACTGCTACTTTTAACATGTATGGTAGTATAAATTTGATGATATTTCTTGTTTGCATTGTTTATGGGAAAACAAGCAAAGGAATATAATTTGTGGGTTACACTGTCAAAATATGACAAACTTTCCTGAATCTGAACAAGAAAAAGAAAATGTTTTGAAGAAAAAATGCAGAGGAACCGAACCATCAGTACAGTAACATCTCCCAATTACAAACCTCCCATTTACGAACTCTTGATTTTACGAAACCAACTTGCGATAATGACGTCATTGCGAACGATCATTCTTAACCACAGCCCTGTACTTTGTAATAGGCCTAGGCTTACCATCACCACACTGAGATGCTATGAAAATTCAAATTACGAATTTTTTCATTTCGTTCGGACGGCGGTTGGGAGATGTTACTATAGTAAAATAATATATAGTAAAATAATAGAAAGTAAAATAATAAATTGTAGAATAAATTGCATATCAGAAAAAATATTACAGTATAACTGTCTGCTGTTTGTCAGTGGCATTCTGAACGGATTGTTGTTTAAAAAAAAACATCTGTTGCTTGCCTGTCGTGTTGTGTTCTCCAAAGAATCGTATTAATACAGTACAGTCCCCATTAAAATATTAAGAACCTTCTCTTATCAACATTTAAATAAAATATAAACTTCCAAGTCATTAGCATTTATACTGTTTAAACTTCTTACATAGTACTGTAATCAGTTTAATCATATTCATTTATATTGTTTGAAGGTTTGCATGGCGAAGTAATAATATACTGTATAATGATTGTGTTACACCATGTAGATGGTTCTGAAAAGAACTGTTGTGTGTTGAGAAAGTTTCAATTGAGTTGCTTCAATTGTCTTTATGTTGATATAATTATAGCAACTCTACTAAGCTCTTCGTTATTGGGTTTCAGTTGGTTGAGCTGTCCAAGGCACAGGATATTGAAGCTGGTGACGGCACTACCTCAGTGGTTGTTATTGCCGGCAGCCTACTTGACGCTGCATCTAAACTACTAATGAAAGGTAAATTATTTTCTCTTTGCTCATATTTTAAACCCTTCGATTAGCACCTGTTTCAAATCAGTTCTTGTATTTCAGCATGCATTCAAAGTTACTATAGCATACCGCCTTTGTGCACCAAGGTAACTGTGTACAATATTGTAAACCCCTTATTGTTTGCACACTATTAAAAGGTGTGCAAAAAATAAGGGGTGCGTAAATGTGATGAATGATAGATGCAAAATTGAAATTTTGGAATATGCCCTCTACAGGGTGGATTGAGATCCATTAAGGATTTACAAGATAACAAGATTAAGTATTGGAAAGTATTAATTGGATAAAGGGGGGCTATACCCTTAGGCTATGCCCGCTGGATGTCCACCAGCTCCTTTCTCCCAGTCTAGCGCTTGCTTTGCTCGCACAGGTCCCCCTCCCTCCCCTCCTGTTGGGGCCTTTAGCCCCTCCGTCACGCAGATAATGGTTCCATCACTGAATCTACTGAATGCTAAATGGTTTTAATGAGTAGGTCAGTAAAATCTGAAGCTCCAGTTATTAACCCATTCAGTCCCATAAGCGCTTTAAGCGCTCTCTAATTATCGTCAGTAATTAATTAATTAATTAACAATAATAAAAAAAAAAACGTATGTGCAGTAATGTGTGCATGTATTTTCATTAAATATTCGAGAAAATATCAAAAATTTTTATAAAAAAATGTTTCTTGGTGCTTTTTTAATTAACTTGAATGATTAGAGTAATTAAAAATATGAAATATGATCGTTATTTTTGTAATATGATAC